GCAGCTCTCTCCTGGGCTGCCTCTAAGTGCCATGCCACCTGTAATTCTCTGTTCTGTCGGGGACCCAGGAGGCTGTCTGTGGGGCGAGTGTGGTGGAACTCAGGGCCCGTGCTTCAGAAGTCGGGATTAAGCCCCAAGCATTGAGAGGCAGTAGCCTGTTTCCTTAATCGGACCCTGTCGGGTCCTCTTTTACCAGACTGTGTGTCTCCCGGATATGTGAATAGGGCAGTTTTCTCTTCTCTTCTCTTTTCTTTTTTAAATTTAAATTTGCCGAAGAGCACGTGCACTTGCCGGAGAGAATCAGACAGAGAGGAAGAAAACATCCCCTCAGGGGGGAATGATCATTTCGTAATCCCTTTTCCTCTATTTTTCCATCCTGTTGGGGTTTTGGGCGCACACACACATGCATCTGGTATGTTTGTCAAACCACCAGGGCTGAGACTCAAACCACATGATCAGCTGTGCAGGACACTAGGCCACGAGGCCAGCCCAGGAGGAGTATTTTTCCTAAATCTTTCCTGCGTATTCATGACAGAGTGCATGAGAAGGAGAGAAAGGTGTACCCTCATAGTGCTTGGTCCTGCTATGACCTCCTTTTCTCCCGTCCTCTGGCCTGCCGGGGTGCTGGGCCTGTGTGCACACTCCTGACCCAGTGGCCCTGTGTGTTTCCAGGCCTCCGGGGTCAGGACTGCAGTTGTGGTTGGTGTGCAGCTTCCAGCTCCGCAGTCAGTAGGCTGCTGGCTGCACCGCAGAGGCTGGGCCAGGACAGTCTTTATTTGTCTTACGCTGACCTGTTCTAAGGTCCCGAGGAGGCGTCTTCACTCTGGAAGTCTTTACTCAGTCTGGATTCATGGACGTTGGTCACATCCTTGGTGCCCCTTGCCATGTCCGCTCTTTACCCAAGCCTTTCTGTCTAAAAGGAGATGACACTGGACGTGACGGGTTGGCATCTCGTCCTCTTGGCCTACATCCAGTAACTGCAAGTTGGGCCCATCCCTCTCCCCTCCGGAATTTGGCTCTCTGAGAATGGCGAGATGCTCCCACACAAGTCCCCAAAGCAGAAAATATCTCCAGAATTACTCTAGGGAGTCTGAGCCTGGAAGACTGACTCAGAGGCTGGGAGAAGAAAATCTACTGAAGCTAAGCACAGTGTCTGGCACCTGTTAGGTGACAAGTGTTGAATGAAGGAGGGTGGCCAGTTCTGGGGAGTCCTAGTTAGGCCTGGGACTTACGTAGGGAGAGTTAGGCCTGGGAGCCAGTGCTCAGGCCTTCTGTCCCTGGGTGTTCCGAGGTCCAGAGGCCGCCGGAATGGTCTGGTAAGGCTGTGAGAGGCTTATCGCTGCCAGACGCTCTGGGTGGGACCATGTGGGCAGCAGCTGTGGCCTGAGGTCCAAGCAGCCATGCGCGCAAGGGAAGTTGAAGATACTGCAAAGTTTGTTAGGTGGGACAATCAGCTCCATGAGTGGAGTCTTTCTGGCAAAAATCTTTGTGATACTCCAAAGAAAACTCCAGAATTTGGATAAAAAACAACATGCTTATCTTTGGGGTTTTGGGCGCACACACACATGCATCTGGTATGTTTGTCAAACCACCAGGGCTGAGACTCAAACCACATGATCAGCTGTGCAGGACACTAGGCCACGAGGCCAGCCCAGGAGGAGTATTTTTCCTAAATCTTTCCTGCGTATTCATGACAGAGTGCATGAGAAGGAGAGAAAGGTGTACCCTCATAGTGCTTGGTCCTGCTATGACCTCCTTTTCTCCCGTCCTCTGGCCTGCCGGGGTGCTGGGCCTGTGTGCACACTCCTGACCCAGTGGCCCTGTGTGTTTCCAGGCCTCCGGGGTCAGGACTGCAGTTGTGGTTGGTGTGCAGCTTCCAGCTCCGCAGTCAGTAGGCTGCTGGCTGCACCGCAGAGGCTGGGCCAGGACAGTCTTTATTTGTCTTACGCTGACCTGTTCTAAGGTCCCGAGGAGGCGTCTTCACTCTGGAAGTCTTTACTCAGTCTGGATTCATGGACGTTGGTCACATCCTTGGTGCCCCTTGCCATGTCCGCTCTTTACCCAAGCCTTTCTGTCTAAAAGGAGATGACACTGGACGTGACGGGTTGGCATCTCGTCCTCTTGGCCTACATCCAGTAACTGCAAGTTGGGCCCATCCCTCTCCCCTCCGGAATTTGGCTCTCTGAGAATGGCGAGATGCTCCCACACAAGTCCCCAAAGCAGAAAATATCTCCAGAATTACTCTAGGGAGTCTGAGCCTGGAAGACTGACTCAGAGGCTGGGAGAAGAAAATCTACTGAAGCTAAGCACAGTGTCTGGCACCTGTTAGGTGACAAGTGTTGAATGAAGGAGGGTGGCCAGTTCTGGGGAGTCCTAGTTAGGCCTGGGACTTACGTAGGGAGAGTTAGGCCTGGGAGCCAGTGCTCAGGCCTTCTGTCCCTGGGTGTTCCGAGGTCCAGAGGCCGCCGGAATGGTCTGGTAAGGCTGTGAGAGGCTTATCGCTGCCAGACGCTCTGGGTGGGACCATGTGGGCAGCAGCTGTGGCCTGAGGTCCAAGCAGCCATGAGCGCAAGGAGCTTGCCGCTCCAGCCCTGGGTACTCTTGTCCCTTCTCCCCCAGCGGGTCCTCCCGCCGGAGCCTTTGCACCGGCTGCCCCTGGCTGGGAAACTGCCTGACGGCTGCCATCTCTCTGCCCAGCTTCGGCACCTCCGAGGTGGTGTCAGTGCTGTGCCATAGCCACATCCCAACCTCATCGGTGCTCTGGCCCTCCTTCTGTCATAGTCACGGTGTCATTAACACCTTT